GGTAGCCATTGGTTGATTTGGAGTTTGGGATTGGGTTTAAAAGCATGGATTGATTTAGGTAACCTCAGTGTAGAGTTAATTTTTTTTGTAGCATTTAGAATTTTCTTTTATAAATTGTATTTTATTTTGGTTTGAGTTTATTATATTTGAGTAATATATTAGTCTTATACCTTGATTATTTTAGATTAAGTTGCCTTTATGTTATGGTTTAAATTCAATTTTGCAATTAGATGAAATTTTGGATTTAAGTGCTTGTTGAAGTTTCATGTGATTTGATGTTTTTTAAATTCAAGATCTTTTCAGTTTTACTTTTTTCTAATTATTCATTTTAAGTTCCGGATTAAGTGTTTTGTAGGTTTTAATTTAATTGCAGTTAAGTATTTTAAGTTGACTTAAACTTAGATAGTTTATGTTTAGTTCATTTAGGGAATGAATTATATTTTGGTTTGATAATCAATTGGTCAAATTTAGATTAGGAATTTATTTAGTTTTTTGTTAGGGATCTGTTTAAATTTCATTATGATTAAGTTTATATTTTATTTAAATCTTGTTTATGATTTTTTTTTTGTAATTTGATTGATTGAATTATCATTTGTTTAGTTTTAAGTTATTCTTTCAATTTGTTTTAAATGTATGGTATTGTTAATTTTAGTTCATGATTTTTTAATTTAAATTTTGATTCACTCATAGTTTAAGATGACCTTCAATATAGATGGAGTACCTTGAACCAAGGAAATGAACAAAGGAATATATTAAGTTTGATTTGATAGTGTCTCATTGGATCTCCTACTATATGGCTAAGTAAAAAAATAATAATAATCTTAACTATGTCAGAAAAAACAAAGGTTTAAAGGGTCCTATAAAAATATGACATGAACCTAAAGGCACTCAACCTTCAATTTTCAATAATTTAACAAAAGTGGAATAAGGATACGATTAGGTGTATTTAAAACAAAGTGGAATAAGGATATGGTTTTGGTTCTAAACTAGCTCAAAGCATCAACTAGTTCTTTAAGGTAGTCATTAATGAGTTTCTAAAGCTAAATACTAGGCTTTAAGGGTGGGTTGGGAAGAGAGATATTGACCTCATAAAAAATAAGGAAAACAAAGATGTGTCGCTCTTTCTTCTTGTTCTTTAAAACACCAAAATCTTTATACCATAGCTCTTATAACCTTTTAGGGCATGGATCATCTTAAGTGACCTATGCCCATCATTTCTTGGTTCTTTAGAATCTTTACCCTTAAACCATACAAAATGTTGACAAAATTTGGATGAACCATTAATGACTTAAATTAAACCATCCTTAATTAACAAATTTAAACTTTGTGTCAACCTTGTATAACTTAAGTGATACATTTTCTTTGGATAACTAGCTTAATTAATTAGCATACATAAGGTATTTTGATAGTATATTTTTAGGTATCATAAGACTATGGTGTAACAAAGTTGTTTTCCATTTATGGTTGTTAGGGGATTTATTGATTAGTTATCAATCATATACCAATTCTAATGTTCTAAGCCAAAAGTAACATAATTTTACAAAGCCAACCATTATTTTAAATAATTTTAAGTAATCTTTTTTTTATTATTTAGTTTAATAATAAGAAAGTGATATAGAAAAATTAGCTGATTTAAAAAGCGAGAGTCGAAATGACAACCAAGATTGAGTGCACGAGAAAATCATCCATGCTAATCTTCATATATAGTTCCAAACATTAGTAATTACGATAGAACCCAACTATATTTATTTCAATATATGTGATGAATAGTTGAACCTAGTGCAGATTTAAGATATTATATACTTTTTTTCAATTTGATATTGTTTTTTTATGATTAAACATAAAATTGTGTGCTTTTTCTAAGATTTATTCTATACAAAATGTTGTTAATATAAAATCATTCTCATTTGGCTGGTCAAATATTAAAGAGTTATCTTAATACTTAATAAAAAATCACCTATAAAAAATATGACATCTTTAAAGCATATATATAGATTATATAAGTCACTTTTTTGAAATAATTAATATTAGTATTTTATGGATCAATGATCCTCAATTAATATTTTACTAACTACCTGTTTATTGAAGGCGTGATTTACAAAATTGATAAAAATCTCATATTGATGTCATTATATACATGGCATAGTGAGTCGAGACATGATATTTATTTTCTTAGCTCACTATGAAAAATATAATTAAGTCAACTTTTGCATAATTCAATTATCATGTACATTCATGGTTGGGCCATCTCAACATTAATGGGGAGTTCATAAAACCTTTTATGTAATTTTAAATTGATACTATCTTGTAAATGTACAAAGATCTAATGTCATAGTTTAAGTGTGATTAGGTGGATCTAAATAGTTATCTGTTTAGATAAGTTTTAAGATCATATTATGCTCGTCTATTCTTTTATGGGGTGTCAAGGTGTAAGTGTTATCAAGGTAATTGAGCCAATAAAACCATCATGAAATAGAATTGGGTGAGGGTTACACCCAATGGTTGTTAAGACCAAGCCTTAAATTAGATTTAAGGCTAGCATGACCTTGATGATGTTTAGGCCTCATAATTAAGAAATCATCATTTCTTATGGACTATAAGAGTCGTATATTCACTTCATCGCTCATGAAATCCTTCCCTCTCTCTCTCTCTCTCTCTCTCTCTCTCTCTCTCTCTCTCTCTCTCTCTCATCTCTCTTTTGTTATTATTTATAATATGTGATTTTTTTAATGACTATCTTTTGCCCTTCTTGCTTGTTAGTTATGATTAATTGTGCTTATAATGCAAGAATTTGAATCATTTATCCATTAGGTAGAAAAGCTATCTTAGGAAGTCTTTAATACCAAAACTTAGAATAATATAAAAAAGATTCATAATTGAGAAATTTTTCATACTCCAAATTTAATTAACCATAAAATTATATTTTAAAAAAATATATATATATATATATATATATATATATATGTATGTATGTATGTATATATATGTATGTATGTATGTATTTCTTGATCTCTTAAGCCCGTAAAGTGAATTATCTTCTATCTCTCAAAATAATACATCACCCTCTTTATGATTCATTCAAAAGATATATGCATGTGTAACTCATTTGATCTACTAATTCCCATACATGTGGAAATGCATCCTGTGATCCATTCTTGCCCTAGTGCGACATGTTTGAGCAATTGAAGTCTCCTACCATAAAGAGGGTTTCTTGAAGCCCAAAACATTATGGTAACTTAGTGTTAACTAGAAAGAGAGGAGTGGATGGGTTTAGAAGTTGATGATTATAACTGCTAGAGTATTCGAAGCTTGAGGGCATATTGGATTCATGAAGAAAAGAAGTCAATCCTATAAAACTTAAATTTGGGGATTTTAAAGGAGGCAAGAAAGATAGAAACCATGTCTATTATACCAAGAAATGTTTCACGAACATTTGATCAAGAGAGAAAAGAACAAGCTAAGTAGGCTTAATTTATCATATGCTTCTCAAAATAGCAAGTTGTTCATTTCATTTTTACTTTAAAGAGGAAAAATTCAAGAGGTAGGTAGTGTCAAAGGGCGGTTTGATAAATGAAGTTAAGAAAAGATGGTTCCCTTAATATTAGCAATAAAAAAAATGATGCAAAAGGCACAAAAAATGCATATATAGTTTGCTCTATTCTACCACCAATTGAGGCGAAAAAGTGGTAGCTAGCTATATCACTTGATCATAAAAAAGAAGGTGATGAGCTAGGGAGGGGCCAATAGGTCCCATATAAGGCATAGTGTTCGCTAGGTCTAGAGAAGATTGAGACAACTTTATGGAACACACTATTTGACATCAATTATAAGTTGGATGGAAAATTATATGTCCACAAGTCGATCAATGATGTGTCAAAGCAAGCACAAGTCGACGGGTCAAATAAGTACCTGAATAGACTAGATGCTTGTGAGCATGCACAAAGAAGCTAATGGATACACATAGAATGTGAGGCATAACTACTGGACCAACATGTTGAGCATGCATTTGAGACATGAAGATTGCAAGCAAGCACAGATGAGTAAGCATTGGGTGCCCCTTCGCGCCTGCCCTTGTTCACCCGCTAGAGAACATTTCTAGCCCACGCTTGCTCATAATGGCATATAATGATGTGGACTAAGCCAAAGTGAGACAAAAAGAAGGTTCCATTTCAAGACCAAGCATTGCTACAAATATTCCAGACAAACTAAACATAAAACACATGATTGAATGTGTAAGGCATGACCAACAATCTGATGAAAAATCTAAGTAACCTACTGCAAGCATCAATAATAATAATAATCTTAACAAACATATATTTTTTTTCTCTAATAAATAAAAGTAACCAAAATCAACATGTGTAGTTATAAAGTCCAAAACTCAACTAAAATCCAACAAAATAACACTAGATCAATATCAACTAAATAGTAAGAACTCTCAATCAATCACAAATACATATGTAGGTATTGAACTGCATTACCAAATAATTATATGAATTAATATAAATGGGAAAAACACTAAAATATGATCATGAACAACACAATTAAACCAATATAATAAATCTCATATATTTCATGATAACAAAGCATAACTACCAAATAAATGCTTCATAAAATTGAAACAATAAGAATAAGAAAAAGAAATTTGGTATTGTTAGGATGTTGGAGCTCTTGATGATAATCTACGCAATCAATAATGACAAAGCCAGATAAAGGTGATGGCTGAAGAAGACAAAAACAATGATATTTGCTTATAGCGAAGAGAAAACTTTTGGCTGAGCTTACGATGGTTGCCTCAGAAAGATGAAAATTACAATGCCATGAAGGGATCATAATTCTTATATTTGTTGCCACGTGAGGTGAAAAAGAAAGCAGAGGCTTTGAACTAGACTAATTAAGGGTGAGCAAGTTTGGTTCAATTAGTGTGCCTTCTTATTCGATACAACAAAAAGAACCCAAGTTTTTTTAAATTTCATATTCAACCTTTTGTCCCTTGAGAGAACTTTACAACTCAAGATAATTTAGCTCCAGAGTTTTTAATACAAAACAACAAATAGTTTCTAGCCTACTGATGATAGTTCTGTGATCAACCATGTGTTTTCACTCCTTATAACGTTGATTCCCAATTTGAAAACACCATGAGAGAAGCCTGGCATTGCCTTCAAATAAAAGTGCTGAAAATTCACTAGTTTGGTGAACCATAGCACTGTGAAGCATAAAAGGCTAATATTTTTCAGCTAAGTTTAACAGCATCCAACTTTCTTCACGGCAGAAACATCATCTGCCATGCTGACACTGATCGTATGCCCTTTCGGTAAGACTGTAGCATCAGCACTAGAAATAAGAGCCTTCCTGCTGGCAACGCGAAAGATCTGAGTTAGGACTTCAATGAATGCATTGTCCACATTCATGGACTCCAAGGCCGATGTCTCCATGAAGAAAGTGTTTTCTCTCTCAGCAAAGGCCTTGCCATCCTCTGTTGAGACCACCCTAAGATGACGCAAGTCCGCCTTGTTCCCCACAAGCATGATCACGGTGTTGTGATCGGTATAATCTCTGAGCTCCTTCAACCATCTTTCCACACCATCGAATGTGACCTTGCGGGTGACATCGTAGACAAGGAGCGCACCAACCGCACCTCTGTAGTATGCACTTGTGATGGCGCGATACCTATTTGAGAAGACAAGGGGGAAGAATTTGAAGATTATAATATAAAGATAGTATGAAAAACTGAAATCAGGATTTTTGATAGATTTCGGACACAGAAAAGAGATGATATTGCGCAGCACTGTAAAGAACTCGTAACATAGAACTTGTGAACTTGGTTGATGAATGCAGAAGTTGAATCCTATTACCTGATAAAAGCAGAATAAACTTCTTTATGAAGAGATAGTTTGTAAAAAGGATATGCTTTCCAGTGATGCCATGAGTGCGGCAAAATATGTGATATGAACAACAAAGACTCGTGGATTAAACTTAATGTTAAATACAATGCCAACCCCACACTTTTGGGCCTCTTCACAAAAGATCAAGCTTCTGAATACCCTCCACATTTTTTCAAGTACCGTTTGAGATTTTTGCCATGGTTCCCTAACTTGATTTCTGGTCTACAAAGAAATTATTTTTGCTTGCAGCATTAAATATTCCGCTAATTTATGTCAAGTTGCTTGTTTTAAACTAAATTTAGATGATAATAATTTTTTATTACCAAAATCATCACCCCTAAAAGTCAACTATTTGTCTTCTCTCCTGTCCTCTACGATTTTGGTTTTGAGTGGGTTCCCATTCTTCTCTTCCTAATTCAGCCAAATGTCTCAAGGTGACAAGGACCAAAAATAGAAACAACGACGAGAATAAAGGCGTAAGCTCCGAGGCTTTAAAGCCATAACTAGTGCTTCCTACATGAAAGGCAAATGAGGCCTTAATAGTTCTATAAGGCTGAATTAAGAGTAGAGTGCGTGAAAAGAATGTATCACTCCAAGCATAAGGTCTAGTAAGAACTCCCGCTCATCTTCTTCATTGAACCAAAGATTTGTTCATCTTTCGTAGTCTACAGACAAACAGACAAACACCAATAGTTATTATGAGAATAAATGCAGTCATTTTCATGACTTTTTTTTTCTTTTGCTATAAAGAGACTTTGTATTAATGTTGATAATTCTATAACTGTTATTCACTAATGTATGAATTTTGATGAATTTTTTGGATGACTTTCTGAAATCTCAGAACTCTTTTTTGGTCAACATCAAACTCATTCTAAATAGATGAAGTGTGGAGAAGTGAAGATTAAAGTGTTGGGATGAAAATTTGGGCTTCGATTAATTTACAATCAAAACCACACTGCGGAAAAAAGATCGCACCAATTCGAAAAATCCAGAACAAAATATCAAACAGAAATGCATAACAAGTAATCCCAGAAAACACACCAAAATTTAAAGTGGAAAAACTCGAGAACGGGAAAAAACCATAGAGCTACACTAGACCAAAAATTTCACTATGAAAAGATAAAAGTACTGAAATTTATACCACTCAGATCGTCTCTCTACATCAATGAAACTTATAGTAATTCGCTTTAAATCCTCTCTTGATCGTACAAGAGAAATTACACGCTCCGAATTCACCTCCTACTTCACCACTCCACACAAAAGCCCTTCAAGTGTTCACAACGCGCGCGAGAGAGGAGTTCTTCGTGAAACAATGACTGAAATCCCTAACTGCGTATGCAACTAACGCCTAAGTGCCACTCTCGGGAGCTACATTTCTGCTTGCTCTAGTTGAAGTCACGAATCCAGGCGCTATCGCACTCTGAAATGAGCGCCTGAGCGATGCCTTCTCTGGATCTAGACGTGGGGGCACTTGAAGTGGGTGCCTGGGCATCACCCTCTTAGAATCCAAGTTTCTGGGCGCTCCCTCATATCCTGGCGCGTGGGCGCTCCCTTAGGCCCTTAAGCGCTAGTAATGTTGCCGCCTTCCTATAGGTTGTTTGCCATAACAACGGGCTTCACATTGAATAATATCCCACTTGATGACTGATTGCATCTCAAAACATCTCCTCAAGATCTGCACCATCTTCATTGTTTGTATTGTAGTGTGGCTCACCTCTGACCTCCCTCAACTTTCTTAGACTCCAACTGAAGCTAAGAATAACTTCAATTTTTTCAATAATCACCACCTTAATCAACATATCAGCAAGATTTTAAGCTGTGTGTATCTTTTCCAAGAATAACTATCTATTTTATAGGAGAGTACAAATAAAGTGATACCTCGGCTAAATATATTGTTCTGACTTGAAAATTAGCATATTTGACTAGATGAATAGCACTCAAACTATTACTATGAAGCATTCAAATCACCAGCTCTTGACCAAGTTTTGTCATAAAACTCTGCAATCAAACTATCTCCATGTTAGCCTCAGTAATAGCAATATATTCAGCTTTCGTGAATGAAAGTGCAACAATCTTATGCAACCTGGAGACCCAATTCAACGTTGTGTTTTCCAAAGTGATGATATACCCTATTGTACTTCTTTTATCATCTATATCACCTGTCAAATTTGAATTTACCAATCAATGTAGACTAATTCCTGCACTTCCAAAGCAAAGTGCCATGTTGATTGTTCCCCTCAAATATCTAAGAATCCACTTCATTGTCTCTTAATGATGTTTGTCTGGATACCCATGTACTTGTTGATGATTCTCATTGCATATGTAATAACCAGTCTCGTATATATCATAAAATATATTAGACTCCAAACCGCTGAAACATACAGATTTCTCATATGTGCTTGCTCTGTTTCATACTTAGATGATAGTTTATTAGATATTTTGAAGTGACTATCTAAGGGAGTGCAAACTAGTTTTGCCTCACTCATGTTGAACCTCTGTATGATCTTCTTAATATACACTATTTAAGACAGCTTCGGTATACATAAACTAATGTCCCAATTGATTCTTACCCCAATGATCTTCTTGGTTGAACCTAAATTCTTCATCACAAATTCATTTGATAATTGCTCCTTCAAATTTCTGATTTTTTTCATATATGCCACTACAACCAGCATATCATCCACATAAAAAAAGAAACAAGATGTAAAAATCACCAAAACATTTTTATGAAGCAACAGAAGTCTGTCTGATACTTCGTGTACTGATTGTTTGACATGCATTTATCAAACATTTTGTACTATTGTCTCGGGGCATGTTTCAAGCCATAAAAGCTCTTCTTCAGTCTGCAGACCAAATCTTATTTTCATGGAATCTTGTAGCCATGTGTTTGCGCCATATTTAGCTCCTTTTTCAAATCTTCATGTAAAAAAACCGTCTTTACATCCATCCACTCCAGAAGTAGATCTTCATCTACTCTTAAGCTCGACACAACTCTACAGTTATATCTTCACCATAAGAGAAAATTTCAGTATTGTTCACTTTTTCCTTTTGTTGAAAACCTTTACAACAAGTATTGTCTTGTAGCACAGGCTATCATCCAACTCTTCTTTCAGTTTGTACACCCACTTATTGTATAGTGTTATTTTGTCAATTGGTAATACTGTCAAATCCTAAGTTTGATTTAACATCAGTGACTGCAATCATCATTCATGTCAAACTCCCACTCCTTTGAATCTTCAACTTGAGTGACCTCTTCATAGCATTCCAGTTCACCACTATTAGTTTATAACAAATAGTATAAAGAAGAATTCATCTTTGTCGGTCTTGAGATTTTATTGGATCTTCTGACTTTAGTAGCAGGTGATTGAGGAACTTCCTATGTTTCATCCGATTGAGCACTCTTTCTATCTCCACTCTTCTAATCACCAATATCTTCAATATCAACATCTTTGGACTCTTCAGAAATAATGGACACACAATTTTGAGTTCCACTTCTATCCTTGTACATTTTCATTTCCTTGAATGTCACATTTCTGCTCTTGATGAACTTTTGATTCTAAAATTCCCAAAATTTGTACCCAATTTTATTTGAGTCATACCTAATGAAAATACATTTGACTAATTTTGAATCAATTTTACTCCTAGACCTAGCATCAACATAAGCATATGAAGTACACACAAATACTTTTAGATGAGATAGATATAGCCCTTTGTCACTTCAGGCTTCTTCGGAGAAGCCTTCATTCAAAAGTATTGATGGGCCATGATTGATCAGATGACAATAATGTTCACTGCTTCTGCCCAAAATTACCTTATGCATGCAACCTCATACTTCTGACACGCTTCATGATGGTTTTATTCATGCATTCAATCACACCGTTCTATTATGGTGTTCTTAGAACATTTAACTCATGCATGATTACTTCAGCAACACAGAAATTCCTGAACTTCTGATCATGATGCTCGCCTACATTATCTGATCTGAGATACTTAAATCTCAAGTCTGTCTCATTTCCTACCATGACCTTCCACTTTTTAAACACTTCAAATATATCAGATTTATGTTTTAAGAAACAAACCAATACCTTTCTAGTGTGATCATCAATGAAAGTGACAAACTAATGCAAACCTTCAATGGACTGATTTGAAGTAGCACTTTGTACGTTAGTATGCACTAACTCCAACTTTTTTCACTTCACCATTGACCCACCTTTAAGGAAAAAAACTTTCTTTTGTATGTCATATACACAATCTTCACAGAGCATTAAATTCACAGTTTTCAAACTATGAAGTTTATTCTTTGAAAATAGTGACTTCATACATTTCTTACTCGTGTGATCAATTTTGCGGTGTTAAAGATCTACATCAACATTAATTCTAGCAACATCAATAGATTATATCATCTCATTGATCAGGTAAAGTGTACATTTAGTTGTGCCCGAGTCATAACTATTGACCCCTGACACCTCCACAAATCACCTATGAAAATAATCATGTACTCTGATTTTGTCAGCTGGCTCATCGAAATCAGATTTCTCTTCAGAGTTAGAATAGATCTAACTTCATTAAGCCTCCAATCCGTTCCATTTGAAAATTTGATATCAACATCACCCTTTCCTACGATAAAATAGGCATTGTTATCTCACAAATACACCTTCCCCAGATCACTATGAGTGTAATTTTTAAACACTTCTATATTGAGGCAAGTATTAAAAGAGGCATCTAAATCTGCTATCCAAGATTCAGTACTGACTAGGGATAAAACAAAAGAGTCGCCTTAGATTT